ACTGTAGTAAAAAGAAATGTAGTGTAGTAAATGTAGTAAAAAGGAAGAGAAGTCTTTGATAGAAATTTTCAATCCTGGTAAAAAAATTGTCGTGTGTTAAAACCCTTATTAACAAAGACAGTGCGATGTTACCACCACTCCATCTGAAATTGAACTTCGTGAAAACAATGGACAAAGATGGCCAGGAGTTTCAATTTTTACTAACTAAATTTCCTACGATTAGATCTGCAAAAATTAAAGAAGGATTTTTATTGGACCTCAAATCTGTGACTTGGTGAAAGATATTACCTTTGAACAATTGCTTACAGATACTAAGAAGGTAGCTTGGCTTGCATTGAAAGATGTATCATCGTCAGAGACATCGTCGTGGGAAACGCAATATCCGAGAATTATATGGAACTGATGGAACACACAGTAAACTGTTACAAGACTATGGTGTCCAACAATTAATTTCCTTCATTCCAATTTGGATTTCTTCCCACCTGATCTTGGAAAGGTGAGTGATGAACGGGATAGCGATTGCACCAAGAAATCGCTCCCACGGAAATACTATATAAGGGAAAATGGTCATCAAATCTTTTGGCGGATTACTGCTGGACATTCCTACAAAGAAGTATCACCATCCACCCACAAACAGAAAGTTTCCAGGAAATGTTTCTAACTTGTAAGTACATTTCAAGCTTTATTCAGCTTTCTAGTACTGTTTTCACTTTATGTTTTGTAATACAAACAGTTATTTAAATAATTTAATACAAACAATTTTATGCAATTCAAATAATACATGTTACAGTATCTGTACATTAATACTCTATAGATTTCTTCTGTATTGTTATTGAGTTGTTTCCAAGTGTCTCGAAGGTGGTAAAAGTAACTTTTCCAGAAACCTTGGTAGGTGATGGAATATATTTGATTTCATTTTCGCAATCAGCGATTTAGTAAAGAACACACTCTTCCATCTCGCGGCAAGATATAACGTTCAAATTTGTTGCAATGTAGGCCTTAGCGCAAACCTGCTTTACGCTCTCTGAGGATAAGTTTAACCAAAAAATTGGAGTAGTTTTTGAGAAAATTTTGTAAATGTAATTGAGACTTCATGAACAGTCCCCCGAAAGTAAAAAATATCCGTATCAAACGTTATATTTTACGAGAAAAGCAGTGTAAATATTTGTTCATCATTTCAGCGTAATCTTATCGAGAAAATTAACTGTGAATAGATGTTGTTCGAGAAATCATTCAATAATTTGTTGCGATTATTAAAATCTAAGATTTGTGTAGAAGTAATGAATTTCTTGTGTTGCACTAATCAGTTCAAGGGATTTAATGTTTTGTTACTTTCAAACGGTGGTGGCCAAGCAATAGTTATCGTACACGGGCATTTTTGTAAAAAAGTAGTGGATTAGGAAGGGATATTCGAGTGAAAGTGAACGATGTAAATTTTCAAAGTGTATGAAGGGTTATTTCATTTTGTGTTATATATTTGTATGTTATTTGCTATCTGGTCTTTGTATTTCGTTCAGTGCTGTTATATGTGGTCATATTCTGGAGAGAATATACACACGGTTTTACCTGATCCTCTGTCTGGGTGTAAATCTTTCTCATGCCCCAAAAGATTCTGCCTTCGGTCTGACGCCGGCCACCACGACCAGTAATCAGCGTTAGAGTGTGTGTGTGTGTGTGTGTGTGTGTGTGTGTGTGTGTGTATGTATGTATGTATGTATATATATATATAT